TATTGTTTTTTTTTTTTAACCCCCACCTTGGAGACTTTCCTGCTATAGGCCTTCATTCTCTCTGTTTTGTTCTTGCCCACTGACCTCTAGGCTTGTGGCATGACTCATCCTGGGAATTCCCTTACCTTATCCTGGGTGGGATTCTGTTTCCTCTGTTGATTTATTCCTCCACAAGTTTCTGAGAGAGGGTCTGTGGAAGCTGATCACTTTAAACTTGCAGGTCAGAAAATGTTCATATTTTACATTCATATTTGATTGGTGATTTGATTAATCTAGAATTTGAGGTTGAATGCCATTTCCCTTAGAGTTTTGAAGCCATCATTCTACTGTCATCTAGGTTCCAATATTGGTATCAAAATTCAGATACCGTTCTGATTCTTGATTATTTATGGATAACCTGCTTTGTCTCTGAAAAGTTTTTAGGATCATCTTTCTTTTCCTGTATTTGAAATTTCCTTGCTTTAAAAATGATTGGCTTGGGTCTTTGGTTGGTACCTTTTTTTAAAAAAAATAGATAGAGCCTCACTCTGTTGCCCAGGCTAGAGTGCAATAGCACACTCTCGGCTCACTGCAACCTCTGCCTCCTGGGTTCAAGTGATTCTCATGCCTCAGCCTCCCAAATATTTAGGATTACAGGCATGTGCCACCATACCTGGCTAATTTTTGCATTGTTAGTAGAGACAGAGTTTCACCATGTTGGAGACAGGTTGGTCTTGAACTTTAGACCTCAGGTGATCCACCTGCCTGGCCTCCCAGGGTGCTGGGATTACAGGTGTGAGCCACTGCGTCTGGCTGTTGTGTGCCTTTTTGATCAGAAGACTGATATCTTTCAGTTTGGGGAAATTTTCTTAGATAACTTTCAATACTTTCATTTTCTCCATTTTCTGTGTTTTGTCTTCGGAATGCCTATTAGTTGAATGTTGGACTTCCTGGATCAAGTTTATAATTTTAAAAAATTTTATTTCCCTTTTTCATTTTATTATATTTTTATCTTTCAGAGAGATATCTTCAGCTTTATCTTCAACCTTTTCCATTTTTAACTTTCTGCTTTCATGTTTTTACATGAAATATATTTGCATGTTTTACTTTCTAAGAGCTCCCTAGCTCTCTGAATACTTGCTTTTCTTTTTTAGATTACATTCTATTCTTGTTTCATGGGTGCAGTAAATTCCTTTATATTAGGGTGGGTTTTTTGTTTGTTTGTTTGTTTTTTGATGTTTTCTGCTGTTCTCTGCTGTCTCTTGGAGGAGGATGTTTCCTCCAAGTCCCTTTTTCCACTTGTTTTTGTTACTGTATCTTCCATGGCAGTTATTCTTCCATGCATGCTGATCTTTGACTGTCTATTATGTTTTAAGAATGGACACCGAAACGCTGATCGGGCATCAGTGCCACAGGGAAGGGACTCGCTAACTTCATTGTAGGTGATCCAGCAGAGATCCCCCTTTTTCTCTACTGGAGCAAACTAGACGTTTTCTCTGGGGCTTTCCTGGATAGGGCTTTCTTGGAGAGGATTTTGCCTGAGGGTGGGGTGGGGTGAGGGTGGGGTGGGGTGGGGTAGGGTGAGATGAGTAACAGCTTGGCTGTCCTGCATTCTGGGAGCCTCCATGGGGAAGGGGGATAGGTATTAGCCTATTTAATATGCAGACTTTCACTTAATACCTGGGTCTTTTAAAAGTTGCGCCCACCCATCGTGTCTCACCCCCCACCCCAATCCCCATCCCCACCCCCCAGTTCCCATCTCTCTACCTCCCTCAGCTGTGTCCCTCCGTTGGTTGTATCTCTGGTATAAATTACCTGATCAGTGGATCTCCACCTTCTGCTGGCTGAGGCAAGGAAATCACTAGGCTGAGCAGATTGCAAGAGGGACCCTAGGTCTGGCTGCTCTTTGTACCAACCTGCAGGCAAGGATTCTTCTTTTTAGTCCCATCCTGCTTCTCCTTTTAGAGTCCTTGGTGACTCCAGTTACTGAACGTACTCTGGATTCTGTGCCATGAGTTGGGCGCTTGTTTAGTGGTTCCTGCCCTGCTTGCACTTAGCAGAGCAGACAACGCAGAAACCTAAATCAGCTACTGCATGGTGGTCAGCTCTCCACTGCTGTTGATAGTAGCTCATCTGCTGGGGTCTCCTTTTCATTAAGAAACACATCCGTCTACTGTCCTTTTAGTGGGAGTCCGGATAAAATGGGTATTCAGCTCTCTGATTTGACCAAAAGTTTATTTCATTTCTTCATTCATACATTTAAATTTGTGCCTGATATGGGGTATATTCTCAAGAAATGTTCTTTAAATGATTGAATGCATGTTCCTAAGATGATATGCATACATTTAGTCATCAAATTTCAAGAGACCGAACCATATAGTCTTACAGGAATAAATCCATCATTTATTCTAAGACAGACTTGATAATATGCAGTAGATCCTGCCTATTCTCCCCATGCAGTGGAGGATAAAAAGCACTGGGAGGGAAACAGTGTTATAGAGTGTTGCTGTCTTCAGTCCTGTCAGTAACTACCTGAGTCACTTTGAGAAGTCCCATAACCTGCCTGGGCCTTGGTTTTCCCAGCCTTAAAATAAGGTATTGGTCAAGGTTTGATTCAGTTCTCTGCATTGAGCACCTGCTGTGTGCAAGCCACAGTGCTGGGATTCCCCACATGTCTCTTCTAAGGCAGCCAATGTGGTGATTTGTACTTATGTTTGTTTTGGCATGGGTCACACTGAGCTGATTATGTTTGGTTTATATATCTTTCTCCTGGCTTGGTTCAGTGCCTTGTACGAAGTGAATCCTTTGCACAATTTGACTCTCCCTTTTCTAAACCAAGAGCTCCTTGTGAGTACCACGTCGTCATCCTCTGTAGCTCCTGTGTGTACCACAGTTGTTGGTACATAGGAGGTATGTAGGAAATACTGGATTTTTTCACTAAGGAGTACATCAAGGAAATAGGAAAATGTGAATTGTTCTGCCAGAATCCCCAGACCCTGCTTGGAGAACAAGGCTTAGCTTGTTGAGGGCCTAGCTGCACAATTGCTGGCGCACTTACGGAATCGGGGGACTCAAATACACTGGTATTAAAGTCAATGGAGATAGCAGTTCTGGACCACAGCTCTGACACTAGAGGATTGTTTTCTCCCAAACAGATCATAGTCATATATTTGTTTAACAGGCCTTACACTGCTACCAGTTAAAATCGGATTCATCGGAGTCTTACTCTGTCGCCCAGGCTGCAGTGCAATGGTGTGATCTTGGCTCACTGCAACCGCTGCCTCCTGGGTTCAAGCAGTTCTTCTGTCTCAGCCTCCTGAGTAGCTGGGATTACAGGTGCCCGCCACCACACCTGGCTAATTTTTGTATTTTTAGTAGAGATGGGGTTTTACCATATTGGTCAGACTGGCTGGTCTTGAACTCCTGACCTCAGGTGATCTACCCACCTCGGCCTCCTAAAGTGCTGGGATTACAGGTGTGAGCCACCATGCCCAGCCTGGATTCATCTTAACCATGAAAATGAATTGCAGATGTAACCCGGCATTAAGGTGTTTAAAAACATTTAAGTGTTTTTTCATGACTTCTTTTGGTTTTCCCACACTTGAGAGTTTATGTGCCAGGACTAGTAACTAGAAATTTTAGGCAGATTGATTTAGCTCAGTGGAAGAATTTTTTTTTTTAGACAGTCTTGTTCTGTGGCCAGGTGCCAGGCTGGAGCGCAGTGGCATAATCTCGGCTCACCGCAATCTCCACCTCCTGGGTTCAAGCAATTCTCCTGCCTCAGCCTCCTGAGTAGCTGGGACTACAGGTGCGTGCCACCATGCCCAGTTAATTTTTGTATTTTTTAGTAGAGATGGGGTTTCACCATGTTGACCACCGATCTCTTGACCTCGTGATCTGCCTGCCTTGGCCTCCCAAAGTGCTGGGATTACAGGTATGAGCCACTGTGCCCGGCCCTCAGTGGAAGAATTTTTTATCGTAAGAGTAACTTTCTACCAGACTGCATTAGGAAGCCCTGAATTCTGTGTCAAGCCAAGGCTAAATGTCCATTGGCCAGGGAACATGATGAATTGATGCCTGTGTGGGAGATGAGGTACTATTAGAGCACCTGAAAAGTCCTTTGCTTTTGATTTGTTTATCAAATAGTTATTGAGCACCAGCTATAGACCAGTGTCCATGCTGGGCTCTGGGAATATAGCAGCAAACAGAGAAATGGCACCTACCCTCTTGGAGTTTATAGATTAGAGCTGAGCTGTCCAGTATAGTAGCTACTAGCCACATGTGGCTATTTAAATTAATTAGATTGAATACCATTGAAAATTCAGCTTCTCAGTCATAATAGCCACATTTCAAATGTTCAGTAGGCACGTGTGGCTAGTGACTGCCCTACGGTCAGCATGGACAGTTATAGAGTGTTTCCATAATCTCAGGAGAATCTATTAGGCAGGCTGGATTATAGAGATAAGATTTCTGTGTTTCCAGACCAGACATTTATGATTAGCATTTCATGGTGGAAGCAACTGAGGCAGAGAAAAGCCATTTGTTTAAGGTTACGTAGCTGGATAGGGCTGAGCCAGGAACAGATCTCTTATCTTTGCGTATGGCTCTTCGTGAGGTAGGGCAACTGAGAGTATAGTCTTTGCACTCAGGCTGCCTAGGTTCAAATCCTGGCTTTGCTGCTTCCCAGATTTGAGTCTTAGGGCCAGTCACTGCCCTGTGTCTCAGTAGTGTCACCTCTAAAATGGAGGAAGTAAAAGCACCTACCTCACAGGATTGCAGGGAGGATTAGATGGTCCAGTCATACAAGTCTTTAGAACTATGGGCTGGGCATGGTGGCCCACACCTGTAATCCCAGCACTTTGGGAGGCTGAGGTGGGAGGATCTCTTGAGCCTGGGAGGTTGAGGCTGTGGTGAACTGAGATCATAGCACTGTACCACTCCAGCCTGGGCAACAGAGTAAGACTCCATAAAAAAAAAAAAAAAAAAAAAAAAAAAAAGGAAGGAAGGAAGGAAATATGAACTATGCCTGATACATAAATAGTAATCAGTCAGTAAATTCTGGTTACTATTATTGAGAATGAGAAGGGGACAGAAGGTACTGGGAGAGCCAAGGAGACATTTTCACACAGCAGAGTGGAGTGGAGAAAGAATGTTGTCAGGCAAGGTTGTGCTTGTAGAGCTGACCGACCACATGGGGAGGGACACGTAATGGAATATTTCTCAGCCGGGGGCTGCTTTGGTCATGTGAACTCATATGAAAATGCCAGTATGTCCATTAAGCCCTCTGAGTGTCACAAGTGGTCACTGGTCCTCTGAACAAGGATCATTTCAGTGTCTCCCTTCTCTTGGCTTGCCTCCATGCAGGCTGGTCCCCACAGCCCCTTCTCCTGTTCCCATACGTTTCTTTTCCCCTCACTACATCTTCATCAGGGAGTGGATGGGACATTTACCATCACCCCGCCGTGGAGCAGAGGGCTGCACCAAAGGAATGCAGAAGAGTAGGGACAGAAGCCCAGCTGGGCCCTGGTATTTTCTTGAAGGTTTCTCTCTTGTTGGTGTCATTCCCTCTGTTGCTTAGTCTTTCACAGTGTTCTAGGGGCGCCCCATTTTGCTGGATGAGGAGAAAGAGAGCTCTGATGTTAGCCCCAGGGATGGGAGGGTGCCCCATTGGGTAGGTAAATCCCTGCTTATATGTGGAACTTTGACTTAAGAAGTACTTTATTTATTTTTGAGGCAGCGTTTCACTCTTATCATCCAGGCTGGAGTGCAGTGGTACAATCTCGGCTCACTGCAACCTCTGCCTTCTGTGTTCAAGCAATTCTCCAGTCTCAGCCTCCTGAGTAGCTGGGATTATAGGTGCCTGCCACCATGCCTGGCTAATTTTTTGTATTTTTAGTAGAGGCGGGGTTTCACTCCTGACCTCAGGTGATCCACCTGCCTTGGCCTACCACATTGCTGGGAGCCACCACGCCCTGCCAAGAAGTACTTTAATAGAGCAGTCTCATCAACACTGTAGACATGTGCCCCGCCCTGTAGGGGTTTATTTCTTTATGAACACCCAGAGGGCAGGGCTCTTGTCTTCCCCAACAGACATCAACAGTGCATTTCAGGTTATGAAGTAGGAAGGTTCTAGTATGATACAGTGTGTGTGGAGGTACAGGTAGTGAGGGTGCTCTAGTGCTACATAATGGATGTGGCATCTTGCCTAACCCAGGGGAGGCACACAGGGAAAGTAGTATAGGCCAGTGATGTACCTGAGGTCAGGTGTCTAGTAGTGGCAGACCTTAGGCTGACCTGTGAGGAGATTGTTCCTAGCAAGCCTGATTCTCAGCGTGGCACAGAAATACAGGTTCTCCCTGAGTACTAATGATCAGGAATATTGAGTGCTTGGCTGGGCATGGTGGCTCACGCCTGTAATTCTAGCACTTTGGGAGGCTGAGGTGAATGGATCACCTGAGCTCAGGAGTTTGAGACCAGCCTGGGCAATATGGTGAAACCCCATCTCTACTAAAATACAAAAAATTAGCCAGTTATGGTGGCGTGCTATTTGGGAGGTTGAGGCACGAGAATTGCTTGAACCCAGAATGCAGAGATTGCAGTGAGGAGAGATTGTGCCACTGCACTCCAGCCTGGGTGGCAGAGTGAGACTCTGTCTCAAAAAAAAAAAAGGAGTATTGGCCAGTCGTGGTGGCTCACGCCTGTATTCCTATTACTTGGGGAGGCTGAGGCGGGTGGATCACAGGAGTTTGAGATCAGCCTGGCCAATATGGGGAAACCCCATCTCTACTAAAAATAAAAAAATTAGCCGAGCGTAGTGCTGGGTACCTGTAGTCCCAGGTACTTGGGAGGCTGAGGCAGGAGAATCACTCGAACCTAGGTGGCGGAGGTTGCACTGAGCTGAGATTGCGCCATTACACTCCAGCCTGGGTGACAGAGTGAGACTGCATCTCAAAAAAAAAAAAAAAAAAAAAAGTAGTATTGATTGCTTGAGGCTTCTCCTGTGGTACAGTTTGGATGTGTGTCCCCACGCCAGTCTCATATTGAAACGTAATTCCTAATGCTAGAGGGGGGCCTGGCGGGAGGGGATTGGATTATAGGGACTGTTTCTCATGAATGGTTTAGTATCATCCCTTTGGTACCGTCCTCACAATAGTGAGTGAGTTCTTGTGAGGTCTGTGAGTTCTTGTGATGTCTGGTCATTAAAAAGTGTGCAACACCTCCCCCTTTGCTCTCTTGCTCCTGCTCTGGCCACGTGACATGCCTGCTCCATGCCTTCTCCCCCTTAACCCTTGCCTTGATTATTAGTTTCCTGAGGCCTCCCCAGAAGCCGAGCAGATGCCAGCATCATGCTTCCTGTACAGCCTGCAGAACCATAAACCAATTAAACGTCTCTTGTTTATAAATTACCCAATCTCAGCCATTTCTTTTTTCTTTCATTCTTTTTTTTTTTTTTTTTTTTTTTTTTTGTGATGGAGTCTTGCTCTGTCACCCAGGCTGGAGTGCAATGGCGCGATCTCAGCTCATTGCAACCTCTGCCTCCCGAATTCAAGTGAAGGAAAACCTGCCTCAGCCTCCTGAGTATCTGGGATTATAGGCATGCTCCACCACGCCTGGCTAATTTTTGTATTTTTAGTAGAGATGGGGTTTCACCATGTTGGCAAGGCTAGTCTTGAACTCCTGACCTCGTGATCTGCCTGCCTTGGCCTCCCAAAGTGCTGGGATTACCAGCGTGAGCTACCGAGCCCTGCCACAGGTATTTCTTTATAGCAATGTGAGAAAGGACTGATGCAACCTGGAACTGTCTTTGCCAATCCATTCCTGTTTGGGCCTTGACCTTTCATCATCTTGGGTGGTGGTCTAGCTTATAACAGTTATGACAGGAATGGATGCTTGGTAGATCCTAGAATTGTCCTTCTGCTTGCATGTGTGAAAGCTCGTTATGCACTTATATAATGGCTTGTGCATTGATTATTAACATCAGCCTGTGGGCTGACCTTTGAGCTTGGTTTCCTAGTATGAAAGGCCATTAGGACATACCTTGTGAAATTCAGTTTCTCTTTTTGCCTGGAGTCTGTGCGGAACCTGGTGGCTGAGCATACAAGCAGTTTTCCTTGTCCGATGTGTGAATAGATAATTCATTTGCACATTGCTTTTCTCCACTTGGAATTTGCCTTTAGCTGGGACAGATCCAGCATTGGGTGACATTTCCTGTGAGCATAGAATTATGGTCAGGGGTTGTAACTGCTTGTAACAAACTGACAGGGAGGAAAATGGGACCATTTGCCTGGTACATTGATGAAAGGGAGTCTTTCCAGTGCCGCTATAAGATATACAGTGCTGACTCTTCTGGGCTTGGGCCTGCCTTTCTTTCTTTTGTGGTTGGAGTTTCACTCTGCCACCCAGGCTGGAGTGCAGTGGTGCCATCTCAGCTCACTGCAGCCTCTGCCTCCTGGGTTTCAGTGATTCTCTTGCCTCAGCCTCCCGAATAGTTGGGAATACAGGTACCTGCGACCACTCCCGGCTAATTTTTTGTCTTTAGCAGAGACAGTGTTTCACCATGTTGACCAGTCTGGTCTTGAACTCCTGACCTCAGGTGATCTGCCCACCTTGGCCTTCCAAAGTGTTGGGATTACAGGTGTGAGCCATCACAGGGCCTTTCTTTATAGACAGTGCACACAGGAGGCTGGTGATAGGTGACTGGGCAGGGTCTGGAAGCCAGGGATGAGGTAAGAAAGGCTGGAACTGGAGCTGGGAGATCTGAGTCGCTGCTCCAGTGGCCTGGCTAGTGGGGAATCTGAGTGGAGAGGCGAGGCAGGAGTGGGAACTGCTCTTAAGCAGACAAAGTGAATTAGAGGCTCTAGAGAAAGAAAGCAAAACCCCAACAGGGACAGAAATGAGAGTAGCTGGAGAAAGCTGGGGCTTGTGAGAGCCGAGGGCCTGAGCAGGGTTTGGTGGTGTTTGCTGAAAATCAGGTTGCCAGGCCCATGAACCCAGGCCAAGGCAATGTTAGGCCTTTTAGGACTATTTTGTGTTTGCTTCGCAAGGCCTGTGTTGGACATGGTACATTAGTGAGCCAGCAATGGCAGGTGTGAGGGGGTGAGGCCCCCTAGGAACTGGGAAATATTAGTCATGCCTGAGCACTGATAGAAGATACAGCTCCTCTTCAAGACAGCTGCTGCCGGAGGAGGCCCTGTAGCCGCCAGCCTGCATTACAGTTTATGTTCGTGGTTTTGCCTTTAATTATTAAAGGCACGGGCTATTTAAATACTCACCTGAAGCGTCATTGTGAATAATTTCCCTTCCTGGGGTCAAAGGAGCTCCAGCAGGGAAGGGGTTGTGTGGTCTATGGTTCTGGGCTCTCCAGGTGCTTCCCTCAAGGAATGCAAGGATGTCATGAGGACATCGTAAGATGCCCTTAACGGTGGGTTGCTGAGCTCTCTGGACTGTGTTGCAGACTGGAATTTATTTTGAGTGAGTCCTTCATTTGAGGAGTATGGGGTGTTCCCTTTTATTGTAGGCAAGGAAGAAACAGTGCTGTTAGAAGATGTAAAATATTTAACACTCCTTTAAAAAATTAAACTGCTTAGGAGCCTTTGATTGGTGGTGCCTATGGCAACATGCATGGTTTTCAGGAGTGTCTTCTCGGAGCCCCTGGGCTCCTCAGAAGGGGTGATGTGGGGGTCCAGTCTTGGGAGGGCTGGCTGGGAGGCCGAGAGCCCACCAGTTCTGCTTGGCTTAGAGGCTGGGCAGTAGCAGGGCTGAGCCAGCCCTTCAGAGGGTTGTAGTCAGGGGTGGCCTGTTTTGATAAGTGAAGAGGAGTAAAGGAGAGTTTGCCACCTTCCTGGGCTTGCTTAGTTTAGTTTATTCATTTGTTTTGTTTTCTTGGCCTCTGTTAGTCCCTGGTGCCTACTGTTCTCCATCCAGCCTCAGGACTTTGCATGTGTGGTTTCCTTAGCCTGGAGTGTGAAGGGAGCTTTCCTTCCTTACCTGATTAATGCTGCTTACCCCTCAGATCTCACCTGGAACCTCATGTTCTCAGGAAATTATCTCTGGCCGTGCTTCCTAGGTTACACTCTCCTGTTGGAGGGCTCTCTCT